CACACACACACACACACACATTCTTCTCATATTTTTCCCTGTCTACCCTCTCCAGGTGGAGTTGGATCTGAAGCGTCTTCGGGATCCACTCCAGCTCCAGCTCCCGGTCCCTCAGCTCACCGCCAGTAAAAATTGATAGAACGAGTGACTCCCTCCTTTCTCAGCTCCTACAAGCCCCTCTCCCTCCTCCCTCCTACCGTCCAACACCCTTCTCCCTCTCCTTTCACCCTCAGCTATTTCTCAGTCTCCTCCCCCTCTCCTCTAACTCCCATCCCTCCCACACCCAATTATCCCATCCCTTTCTCGACTGTGGGAGTTAGTTTTTTCTCTCTTTTTGTTTTTCTTTATTTTTGATTTATCTTTTTACTTTCCTGACTGAAAACTCCAGTTGGAATCACAAGTAAAGGAAAAAAATGCTAAATGACAAAGAAGGATGATGAGAATACCAGGAAGTGAGGTCTCGTACAGGCGAAGGTTGTCGAGGATAACGAAAAGGACGATGATGATTATAATGGAATAAAACTGGCCAAATGCCTCAAGTCTCCAGAGGGACAGCCTGTAAGGAACTCCAGGGGGATATCGGGAATTATCACACCTCTAGACACTCCAGGACAGAGGACATGCAGAGGGGCATTGTTGAGTGTTTGTGTGCGTGTGTGGAGAGGAGGGCGGACTTTCAGGGTACACTGGGACAACGACCCTGGCCACGCTGCGGATCGACACAGCAGTACACTCCCCCTCTTCACTGAGCAGTCAAACTGTGAACACACACACACCTACTCATTGTCGGGGCAGGCTCCGGGGAGACTCTCTGTCCCACATGTTAAAGTTTACACAGACATCCTTACTGCAGTCGCACCATCAGGGAGACCTTCATCTCCCTGTAGCTGAACTGCTGCCTCTCTCTCCCTGGGCCGAGCCTCCTCCAGGTGACGGACAGCTGTCCTTCCACGTGTGACCTTTGTCAAGAGCTTGTCTACCCGGCAGGATGTAGGCGCAGCAACGCCTCGTTTCCTCTTCCTGTTGACGTCCTGTAGCGGGCCCGGTCTGCGCAAGTATGAGAAGTACTTCCGACAACAACATCACTGTGTGTTCTTTTATTCCAAAAAAAATATTTTGGCACTTTTTATTTTGAAAGCCATAGTATATTTGTTATGAGAAGAATATAAATATATATATGTATACAATCAAATAAACAGATGACCAGAGGCTAGTTTCTTTCAGTGGGGGGAGGAGCTCTCTTAAGCACGTCATTTTATGTGAAAACTCGTTTGCATCTCCTGTCATGAAGGAACATCCTGCTACGTCGCGTACGAACACTGAAGAAGAACATTATAATGTATGCTATTTCATATCTTTTCGTGAGAAACATCATATATTTCACAGCAACAGGCTCCTGTGCATGGCCACCAATAGGGGGCGAACAATATCAAAGCCAAATCAGGGTGAAAATGGCTTTGATTGGAACTGCAATCCCATCCCTGACCTCTGCACTATACTATAGACGGGAGGAAAATTAAAGAAAAAAACAACATTAAGTGTGTTAGTAAAGTGTATGGCCACTGTACGTACCAGAACACCTCTGCATTTATTATACTGGAGGGATGAATGCCATTATTTCAGAAGATATGTGTTTGTGTTTTGACAGTGGTGGTAGGGAGCGCTATATAATAGGCTGGGTGGAGATCTGGTGACTATGAAGGCCACTGCACATGATACACATCATTTAATAACTTACACATATGGATGGGGGCATCATTGTCCTTTTTCTCTACTCGTTATTAAGGCATTTCCTTTAATTTGTCACCCGTCTGTAGCTGCTAACATAAGGAGGTTAAGATGATGAGATCATTGCGTCAGACAAACCTACAGGCATGCTATGGTTTAATATGTCTGAAGAACTGAATGCCTTTAAAGAAAAGATAATTTTCAGTCTACAGGAGGAGCTGAATTCGCCTGCAGTTCAATATCTTCTTTTCAGAGAAAATAACAAAAGGATACATCTATAACAAGAAGCATCATCACATTGTTTCACAGAGAATTTTCGTCGTCATCCTAAAATAAAGCCAGAGCTTTCTCCTCCCACTGTTGCTGTAATGCCCCCCTGCTCCCTTGATGGCAAGGCAGGGTAGACTGCATGCTGTGGTATGCCCTCAGTAGAAATTTGTGAATGTGTAGGAGCATTATTGCAATTTTGTACTTAATTGGACACTTTTATTTGCCACATCTAGCTGAAGTCTCACCCCCCCTTAATCAGTTAAATCAAAGCATATATTTGTGTTGTCCATTTTTGGGGGGGTGGGGGGTTGTCACTGAAGAAACCCTTTGTCGGCTTCACTTAGTGTTCTGTTCAGGGTTAGGAGTGGTGGCCCTCTCTTCGCTCCCCATTTATGTCTCCAAAAAAAAAAAAAAAAGGTGTCAAAGCCAGTTATGCAGCTGTAGATCACATCTGCAGAGGGGAAGCACAACAACATGATGCCCCCCCCCTGCACACAGACACAACATCGTGTGCATGCACGTGTGTGAGCAGTTGGCTGAATCCTGCTGAGGAGGTTCTAGTGTTTAACTCTGGATTTATTCTAGTAATAAAATGCATGGTTTTGGGTCAAATCAGAAGTTATGCCAAAGCAGGATTCGGTCCAGTCATTTACTGTGTGTGTGTGTTCACTCCAAGGGAAACTGTGCCTTTTGGATGATTAATGGTTTAAAGGTTCAGTGTGTAGAATTCAGTGAGATCTAGTGGTGAAGTTGCATGTTGCAGTTTAATTCCTATCACTTCACCCTCCCCTTCCAGACATGAAACAGAACCTGTGGCAGCCTTCAGTTGTCATAAAAACTTAAAAGGTGTTTGTTCGTCCAGTTAAGACGACTGTAAAAAACATGGCAGCCTCCATAAAGAGGACCTGCTCCCAATGTAAATATAATGTATTTCAATATAAAGGGCCCATTCTAGGGTAAAGAAAACAACATTTGTACAATTTAGATGGAACACACTAGTGAAAACAACTAGGATTATTTTATATTCAATTTCTGCCAATAGATCCCTTTCACCTAAATCGTACACACTGGACCTTTAAATGGTGTAACCCATATAGCAACAACAGCAGCAGTGAGAAAGTGAATCTCTTATTTAGAAAACCACCATCATAAAAAGGGTTAAATCACAATGTTTGGAACCAGAAATCCATCTTGCTGTGTGCATGCGTGTGCGTGCACGTACATGTACATAGGATCCAGGTTGACAAATGGTGAGGGGCAAAGTTCAGATCCACACATTAATGAATACTTTGCCCTTAATCCCTGCCCATCCCACTTCATAGCCGTCATTAGCTCTAAATCCACACGCACACACACTAACTTACACACACAAAGCGACGACGGCGACAGTGTTTCCTTGGAGACGTACTGTGTCAGGTGAGAGAGTTGAGGCCTCTCTCTGGAGTCCAATCCTCCCCTCTGCTGTTTCCACACCACACTTCTCTCCATCACCACCACCACCTCCTCTTTTCTTTTCATTACGCCATCCACCGTTAATTTCCTTTGTTGTTCTCTTCACTTTTACTTTTTAAAAACAAAATATATCAAATATAGGGAAACTTTATTATAAAGAGGGTGTTGCATGAATGTATGTTTACAAGGGAAATTATGTAAAAATAAAAAAGATGATTTATCCAAAAAAGAACAAAAAAACAAGCTGCAAAGATAATTTAAGAACGTTGTTTGTAGAGATTCCTAGTTATAAAGGGCAGTGGACAGGGCTGCGTCTTTAGAAGCCGCCCTGCCAAATCTGAATTAATCCCAGCCAACCAACTGCTCCAACCTCATCCAACCCCAGTCCCATCTTCACCTTATTTACTCCTGTGAACCAGCCATCAGCGCACGTTTAAACTCCCCAGTAAGATCATTGTCCGTCCTCGTGGAGGATGGATGGTGAAAGCTTTACATCCCCTTGACCTCCATTACTATCGTCCTGGATCTCAGTCCAAAGAAAAAGTGTCAGGTGCACTCTCATCTTATTGGGGAACACCTCCTCTCCTGTCATTTTCACTCACCCTCACCCTTGATTTTTCTTCTCCAAAAATCACATTATTACTCCAGGTTTTTAAATGTGTGTTATGTTTTGGATATCTTGTTTGTGTGCACTTACATTAAGACATGTTTGAAAATGCCTAAAGAGTGAAGCTGAATATAGGATTGAAATGATCTTGTACTCCATCCTGACCTCTTATTTTATTTTTGTTTCACTCAGCCTTCTTTTTTGTTTTTCTTCTGTTGACATATGATGCTGTAATGTTGGCAAAAAAGAAAAATGTAAAATCCTGTATCATTTATGAAATATGTATAAAAGAGAAATGTAATTCAATTATCAATAAAATCCTTATCCAGTTTTTGGAGACAGTGGTCCACTTGCAGTTTTCTGTTCTCTCTGTGATTAATGGATGTTATGCAGATACTGTATTTACAACATGCTTTTCAAGGTCTTGACCATCTCCTCCGTCTCTCCTTGGCCTCCAGCTCTCCTTGCACAGGACATCCTATGAGATAGACCTGTGGAGATTAACTGTGTGTACAATAGCCACACGAAGCAACAGGCTAAAAATCTGAAAGTTTAAAAATAGGTAGGAGGTTATTTTTTAGTCTGCGGTGGTTTGCATGACGCAAGGAAGAACCCAAAACTTGTTGGGGTGGATCCAGATCAGACAGTTGACCCAGTATTTTTGTGTGAATTTGGCAAGGAATGGAAAGGATGTTTATGAAACAAATGGGATATCTGTAGAGAGCTATGAAGAGATGAAGTTTTGTGCAACTCTGGTTTATGCTCTTGTGAACCAGAATACATATTTTTAGATGGACAAAAAAGGTACAAACCCATTCAATTATGACTGAAACATTTCAGTCTGGGCTAAGGTGGTGGACCAACATATTAACATTATCATCTATACGTCATCCCACTGGCATGGGGATTGAAAAAAAATCTGTCTTAACCTGACACTGCTGCACATTTCCCAGCAGTGAAATCACCTTAACTAAACACATTAACCTAAACATTCATCCTTCATCCATATATAGCACTTATCCTCTGCAGAGCAGAGCTGGAGCTAATCCCAGCTGACTTGTTAAATAAATAAAAGCACAAATCAAAACCCTGAAAACTACATTGAGCTGCATTTTAGAGCAAAGTTAAACAAAATTGAAAATGAAGGGAGCTGTTAAAAACATAAATATATACAGCACGCTCTGCGTCACTTTACTACCACACATTGTGCTGACTGAATCTGCCTGCGCTGTGAAGGCTTGCAGCCATGAGGCCTAACGTATTTCCACGAGTAATCCCAAAGAAAGAATGGTGTGTTCCACCTCATTTCTCCTAAAAGCCTTGTGGATTAATGCCTCCATTGATTTAATTACATATGAGAAATAAAAAGTGCAAACATCAGGTTAGTGTGGACAGTCTCTAAAGAAAGCTTCAGGCCTGTACATGGAAGTCAAGTAATGAGCTAGATGAGAACATGTTCACTTCACTAGCACAGCGTGTCCTCGCCGAGGGTCTCAGTCAAATCTGATAAATCCTGACTGTGCAGACCCCGCCGATCCTCGAAGTGAAGGACGCTCCAGCATGACACTAAACAGATTAATTAGATCGGTTTAATGCTTCTGGAGATTAGATCATTGCTCGTAGTTTCATGCCCGTTAAATCAGAAAGGATAAGGAAGACGAGATAGACATTTAAACGTATCACAAACCCCACACACACTTTTTCTCAGCGTGATAGCAAAACAAAAATAAAAACACTGGAGCAGAATATGAGGAGTATTCAGTGTGAAACAATAGGAGGATGGTCTGTCCTGTTACTGGATTTGGGGAGCAGAAGGTGAAAGGTCAAGGTGAGAAAGAGACATGACAATAAGACACATGCAGATAAGAGGTGACTATTAAAGACAGACTTCCTCTGAGGATGAACCAGAGAGGCTGCACACACACAAACATCCACACTGAGCTCCTGGTATCTTTGATTTAAATAAACACATCATGATTGTTCTGGTGATTATAAGTCTGCTGCAGGAGCTTCTTGCTGTTGCAGGTAAAGGTGAGTGCAACATTTCTTAAGTAACATTTCCTCGTTTTAAGATTATTTATTGTACTGAGTTTGAGTTAAATATCTGTGTTCATATGACTCCTTTGTTTGTTCATTTTGAGAATGTATTGTTACTTTTTCATTACTTTTGACTTCCCTAACCATTTTATAACACTCTGCACCAAGTCAATTTATTTCTACTTAATATGGAGATTTTTTTTTTAAATATATACAAAATGAAATTTTTATTTTTTGTTTAAAAAAATCTAAATAAATAAATCACCAAAACATCACCATCTTATTAACATTATTGTTTTTGCAACAATAATAAGAACAATAAGGTTGAGTCTTCACCATCATCATCTTCATCTGTACAGATAAGATGCAGGGTTCCGACAAAAGTCAGACACAGCACCACGTTCCCTTAATAGCCATATTAAGCTATTCAAGCTCCATCTGGAAGGTTTAATGCCTCCATTTAAATACACACACATGAGTCAGCTGTGTCCTCTGCCCCCCTCAGTTGTACGTCTCCAAAACCGGTCGTTTATTCTGTGAGTGGGCCCGGGCCCGTGGATTGATCCCTCTGCTTTTACTGGAGCAGCAGGTCGTGACAAGACAGACTTGTCCATTAGTGGATTAAATCATTTATGGTCTTAAAATTAGTCCCATAGCACACAAATGTGTTTTTGTAGCTTTCAAGATCCAAGGTGCTATCAGTTAATTTGACTTGCGGAATGTGGAGTACGTGTTTGTGTGTTTTAATGCTTACTTCAGCTACGGGAAGAAGAACAGTTATTGTCACAGTAAATGTCAAGTCCATTAGTGGTCAGGCAGATAGTTATTTTCGTTCAACGTATGAGTAACAGTGTTAATATTGGGAGTTTATGCAGAGCAATCCAACTAAATGGAAAGCCCATAGAGTTATAGTGGTGGTTACTGTTGCACTAAAGTGTCACTGAATGTGCTGGTTGCTTGCCCTCATGTTTCCTGGCTTGTCACAAAAGACGCTTTACTGCCGAGCTGATCAACCTCCTGCTGTTCCTCATCCCAGACGACTCTCTCTGGCCCAATTTGCACTTAACCATCATCAGCTCACGTCTCCTTCTTTTCAATTTGTTTCACATCCACCTCTTAATTACACTGTTGACAGGGCCTGAAGAAGCGAGAGGCCATTGATTGTTTTGCTGCACTTTGTTTACTCTGCTCGTTCAGTTGTTTTCCTGATTCAGCACAATAGTGACAAGAGTCACCACAGACAGAAATTGCAGGATAAAGAGCTGTTTGTGGACGGTTTGTTGGCTTTTAGTCCAATTAGAATTGACTGTGTTAGAGTTTATCATGGAGATCCAAAGGTTTGCCTCACGGCACAAGAGAAGATTTATAGCTTGTCTATGGACTGAGCTGACATTTGAAACCGTCCAAAGTAATTGAGGGTGTTTCCTGAAATTAGCGTCACTACTAGTAGATCATTTCTCTAAAATAACACACAAAATCACTCTTATGGTATTTAACTATGCAGATAATGTTATTTCAGAGATATCAGTTGGGTCTTTCTGTTTGGTGTTTGCATGTTCTCCCAAACGGTGTGGGTTTCCTATGAGTACTCCTGCTTCCTCCCACAGTCCGAACACATGCAGATAGGGATTAGATTTACTGAAGGCTCTGGATTTAAGAGGTAAATGTTTATGTGAATGGTTGTTTGTATGTCGGCTCTGCAATACGCTATAGCGACCTGTCCAGGGTGTACCCCATCCATCACCAGTGAGGTGCACATTTAAATTCTACTGTAAGAGCTCTAACTTTGAGCAAAGCCACTTATTGGATATATTTTGACAGTGGTTCTTTGGTTAAGCACATTGTATACTTGAAAAAAACAAATTGTCATATGTTGTTTGTAAGTGGAAAAACAGACAGGGCCCCACCAGTACCCACCCCTGGATCCGCCCCTGGGCTCCATTTTCCACCGTGACACACAAAAGGATAGTTGGTATACATGAAGGGTAGATGGAAGATTTATGGTTCTACAGGATCTGGAAGTCCCTATGAAAACCATGGCAGTGATTTCTGGGTTACTCAGAGTTAAGGGGGCACGACTTTGGGAAAGGTTTCCCTTTCACAGATGGAGAAAGTAGTCAGATAATTTGTTTGAGTAAAAATACAGGCTCAATCCCTGATATCACACTGTTGTTTCTCTCTATGACTGCACTGGGATCCTATACATTGTACACCCATTCCACTCTGACCTATTTTAAAACACACTTACATCATGTCCATATTTGTTCTTGTTCCATTTTTGTCATCCCACCCTCATGCCTCAGCCTTGGACCCGTGCTCAGCCTACATCAGCCTGAATGAACCCTGGAGGAACACAGATTACCATGTCAACCAGTCATCTGGCGTGCCGTTGTGCGACAGCCACATGTCCGGAGAATGGTACCGCTTCACTGGCATGGCCGGGGATGCCATGCCCACCTTCTGCGTCCCTGAGAATCACTGTGGCACCCACGCTCCCGTCTGGCTCAACGGCAGCCATCCTAAACCCAATGAGGGCATTATCACTCTCCAAGTGTGTGCCAGCTTCAACGACAACTGCTGTCAGTGGAACGCCAGTGTAGACGTGAAGGCCTGCGTCGGGGGATACTTTGTGTACCGCCTACCCAGACCCTCAGTCTGCTTCCATGTGTACTGTGGCCGTGAGTGCATGATATGTAACATTTTTTAAATCATATATTTGCATTGGTTTTCATTTTCCTGTCCTGCATGTATGTTTTCCTGTCCTGCACAGATTTTTATGATATCTGCGATGAGGTTGAATGTGCAGGCCCCAGATGTCCAGAGTCGGACTGCCGCTGTGCTCTTGGAACTGAGCTGGGACCAGACAGACAGACATGCCTGGGTGAGACAGAAACACAGGGAGGAAGAGAGGGGATAGATAAATTGTCAAAGATAAGATGAGAGAACATTGGGGACAGACAGGCTAGAAAAGGTTTCTGAAAAACAATACATCAATACGTCAATTCATCACCTATTATTTTGACAATTAAAATATCCATGTTTACTTGACATCATGAAGGGGCAGTACGAGCAAACACAACAAAAACCAATGGGATCAAGTGATTAGTGCAAACAACAAAGTGCATATAGATATTTTTAAATAGCTTGGACTGCAGCTTTTCTGGAGCTTTCAGCTGCACCTTATAGTCTTCATCAGCATCAGTATCACTCCACCATGTTCATTTGAATTGATTTTTAAATGGACATATTTAACTATTAATGATATAAAAGTGGATATGAATAGCAGATGTTATAGAAGTTTTCGTTTGATACAGGTGAGCTGTGAAGAATGTTTTTGGCTGGTTTGGTTACACTTCTGCAACCATTTATCCATTACAACATTTTTAGATATTAGTATTGTTTCATTAATTTAAGCTATTCACACTGTTTATCAATCACTTTTGACTCATTTGTCCTTTAGCCACAAGTGTTTTGGGGAATGACACGAACCCGCTCTTCATGGGCACGTGCTTCACTCCCCCGTTGGTGAAGTAGCAACATAATTATTTTCCTCTGTTCAAATGTAAGGTCACCAAAGTCAGAAAGAAAAAAACTTGTACTGCTCTTTAACAGTGGTCTGGCAGCTACTTCCTCATCAGCTACAACCTCATCTCTGGAACAAACGTTAGAGGTTAACACTGTCAAAACACCAACACCATAACTGGGCCCTTAAAGTGGACTGCATAACTTTCTTACGAAACTATTTCATAATGCTTTGCAATTTTTAGTAACTGCTCCTTGGTACATTTTACCAGCACCTCCACACTTGGAGACTGCACAAAATCCTCCGTGGTAGCCATCTTTTCAAAAGAACAAACCCAGATAACTAACTGTTGAAGACAAAAAGCCAAAGCAATCCCAAGTTACTAAATCACTGCCCCGCAGCTCAGGCCAGGCATGCTGAACACAGTTTACAACCTGGTGTACTTTTCTTTTTTTAAATTCACCTTTGGAATACCTCTCCCCTGACTAACTGCCTAACCATTACTAACTACCTTCTCTGGACCCTAGTCTTCATGCATTTCATGATGGGTGTTTTAAACACAAAACCAATGACCAGGTAAAGCCCCAGCTATGCTGTTGCTCACCAGATGGACATGGACGTGTACCCAAGACACGAAGTCAAATCATGTTTATGCACAAAAATAACAAACAAAAATAACAAACCAACAGGCCCCCCGAGAGAGACGCTGTTGCTTATTCCTACCAGGAGAGGTAACTCCAAAAGTAAATCCCTGTAAGCCTCACACCAGGAACAAACTGTTTAAATAAACCAGCCTCTGGGTTCAAAACCAGCCCCCATTTGTTACACATTGACTCTGTTGTGCAACAAGTAAGGAGGAAGTTCATGGTAATCACTTCTAGTCAGTTCAGTGCAAAGAAATAAGAATCAAACATTTATCAAGATGGTGTCCATGTGGTGGTGGACCTGGGGAAGGAGAGCCAGTCTGCAGCCATCTTAAATACTGGTCAGCACAGGTGTACCACATCCCTGCTGATTACTATGGTCTGAACCTGAAACACAAGCACGACCCCTAGACTAATGTAATCAACCATTCTTTGCCCACCCTTCTGTAAGGCCCATGCTTTTAGCAAGATCCATCTTTCACACACTGCTCAGGTAGCTGACTAAATATTTGGATACTTTCACATTAAAATTAAAATCAAATCATAATGTCAGTTTTATCCAATTAGCTCCTCCAGTGCCCGTACCCCTTACAAACATCACTCTAGTGTACCACTACCTCATGACGTCTACCACAGCTGTTCTATCTCATGCCTACTCGAGTCTGTTTAGTCAGTTGCAGTAGTGTAGTGGATATGTTTTGTTGCAGGTTAAGTCTCCAGGATATGAAGGTAATGTCTTCAAACACGACCCATGAGCATGTGTGTATGTGTGTGTGGGTGGGATGGTACACCTAATGATGGGTGACGAGCGAGCACTGGGAGCCTATAGCCAGTTTGAGAACAGCTATTATCTCATCATTCACCCATCAACCAAATCTTCTTCTCCCTGTCTCAGAAACAGCTTTCTCATCTCTCCATCTTCACTGCCTCCTCACTGTGTCACACTCTCATTCTTTTCTCTCCTTTTATTCAATCCATCATATATACACACATATTTTTACCAGTTCTGCTTGGTATTATGAAATCTGTTTTAAAGTCCTTTAAAGTTGATTTATGAGCCTCTTCCCTGAAACACTAAGTGAATTGCCTTTGCGGTAATAAACTCCATCCATCTGGTACTCAGTCGATTAAAACAAGACTCATCTGATCGTAATATCTGACCCCGGTGTGTTGCCTGTCCTGTGTTCAGATGTAAATGAGTGTGAGAAGGGCAATGGCGATTGTGCCGAGATGTGTGTGAACACCAAGGGCTCCAGGCGCTGTGAGTGTGGGCCGGGCCGCGTGCTGGATGAGGATGGACGCCACTGCAGAGGTACAATTATATTTGTATATGAAACACCAGCTGAGACAGTTGAACCAATCAGGGGAGCACACTGTGTTCTTCAATATTATTTTCTTTTCTCTATGTGGCCTTGTGCAGAGATAGCAGGCTGCCACGTTAACAATGGAGGCTGCAGCCACGGCTGCTCCTCGCTGCTGGACTCCTATCAGTGCCACTGCCCCAGAGGGCTGGAGCTGGGAGAGGATAAACGCACATGTCAGGGTGAGTGTGTGTGTGTGCATGTGTGTTAGAAAGGTAGATGCTGCAGTTAGATAATCAATCACATAGTGATGCAAGATGACACTCAGCTACATGCTTGTATTAATCTGAAAAGATGCTCTGGATAGTAGAGATTTGACCAGAATGGATTTCCTCAGGCCATAACTTATATTTCTAACATAGTGCTGATTATATATCTTTCAGGGAGGATTATACTGGTGGTGGATAACTGGACTGATGATAAGACGACTGATCAATACTTTCCTACAGACATTCTGTTCAGGGAATGAGACACTTCATTTAGTCATTTGGTCAAAAAGATACTTTGATATTGATATTGAAATCAATTATATCTCACAATGTTAACGAAAGGAAAATCTGAATGGGTTCTTCCTTCACCTCATTATTCCACAAAGTGTTGTGGGAATTAATCCAGTAGGTTTTGCGTAATCATGCTTACAAACCAACTAACTATCAAACGGATAGGGTCCTTTGCGAAGGTTTAGATGTAAGAGGCTGGAGCTGGATGATGATATGACTGAACTCATTAATCAACCAAGTAATTGATTAATCATCTTGCTACCACAGTTACAAAATGTTAATTGGGATGTTAAAAAATGACAAAATCAACAAACTCCTGGATGTTAGGTAAGAGTCAGGCCGATGTAATTTAGTTTTTCTCTCAGTTAAACATTTTTTAATCTCCATCTTTGCTTTTACAGTTTTTTTTACAGCTCTAATTTAGGTTGTGTGTTATGTTTTCATCCAATCCCATGGTTGTGATGCTGGCCCTTGTTATTACATCCATGCACAGTGTCATGACATATGTGGTGTTTCTCTTTCCTGCAGTGCCAGTCCAGTGTGAGTCCAACTCTATTACTGTGTCGGTCCCTAAGGACCTTGTAGGAGGACTGGAGCTCTTCCTGTCCAACTCGTCTTGTCGAGGTGTCTCCAATGGCACGCACATCAATCTCAACTTCAGCCTCAAGACCTGCGGCACCATGGTGGAGGTCAGAGACGTCAAGTTAGAATTCTTGAATGTGCACAGGTCTCGGGAATATTTCGATTTTAATTACAGTATATTTCAGAAGTGGGTTGTGTGAGGCTGTCAGTGGAAAAGCTATTAAAAGTGTAGTGAATGTTGACCCTCAGGTGACAGACAACAAGATTGTGGGGACCAACCTGGTGACAGGCCTTCCCAAGAGCAGCCCTGGTAGCAGCAGAGACTTGATCGTCCGCACCAGCAAGTTGGTGCTCCCAGTCACCTGCGAGTTCCCCAGGGAGTACCACGTGTCGGACGGATACCAGGCAAGTCTGCGCAGCTCAGCCCTGCAGCTGGCAGGCCACAGCGAGGGCGTCTTCCCCTTCTCCCTGGAGCTTTTCAAGAACGCTGAGTTCTCAGAGTCCTACCGCACCCCGCCACAGCTCCGCCTGCAGGACTCCCTATTCTTTGGGGTGGAGCCCAAGGAGAGACTGGAGGGCCTCTCCGCACTGGTGGAGAGCTGCTTCGCCACACCAGGCCCCAAAGCTGACCAGGCTCTCAAGTACTACCTCATCAAAGATGGGTGAATAGTTTTATCTGTTGAAATGCCACAACTCATCATGATATAACAACACTGCTGAATCAGTGTTTGCATTACTGTTTTAGAAGAAGAGATGTCCATAAACAAATTAAATAATAAATCAATATTCAAGCTACACCCAGTGTCATGCAGGTAGATTTTCCTAAAAAGAAGAATCTACTACACAGAGAGTGATGGGTCATGTTGTGGAAGATTTCATGACCATGAAGTAAATAAAATGAAATTTTTATTTTTTTCTCTATACCATATCAAGTCAGGTAAATAATTCAGTTTTATTTGCCCACATTTTGAGATAATAATGATAATTACTTTATTTGTATAGCATGTATTTGTATAGCACTTTTTAGTACAAGTAACAAAATACTTTACAAGAAACAATATGAAATTCACCAACAATCAGAACAATAATAATAATAACCGATGAAACCCCATCAACCTCCACTGTATTAAAGTGGAGGCAGAAATCTCAGTAAATAACCTGAACAAATAAAAATAAAACTGTATGGTTCTGTACTAAAATAAGTGCTTTTTTATCATTTGGATTAACCTTCCCTGTAAAGTGTCTTGCTTATGCAGACACTAAAAAACTGCTGAAGTCTGACTTTTTAATATTTTCCTATAAACACCAGAATCGCTTGTAGTTGTGTAACATTAATAATTCCTTTAATAAATGTCATGGATCTGACCCAGCTGCGGTGTTTGCACAAAGACTCAGCATCAGCCGCTTGACAGTTATAGGACAGGAAATCGCCACTCCTTGAAGGAAATGTCAAATGAAAAATGCCACTGGCCTCATACTCTGATTAATGTGGAAAGAAAACAATCATGTTTTTAGGTAGAAAAATCGAAACGGCCTTGTTATCTGGGGAACACTTACTTCTGGCAAACTATTTCGCCCCTGGATCCAGAGTTAGAGTTGATCGGGCTGCTCCCTGGACACCGAGACAGAGCGTGGCTGTGATCTGTCTTCACGGTTTCCTATTAGAATGCAGCAGAGTTTCAAAGCCTGGGGCCGGCTAAACTTAATGAAGTGGCTTGTTAGAAATACATACGGGTCACTGAGCACTGTGTTGAGATCTTATGCCCTCATGGCTGCATCTCCCCTCTTTGTCTCCCTGCTCAGGTGCATCTCTGATGAGGCGGTGACACAGTACTCCTCAAAGGACCAGCTCTCTAAACACTTCCAAGTCCCTGTCTTCAAGTTTATCGGCAAGGACAACCAAGTGAGTACAAGGGGCATGCTGGGAGCCAGGTGGGAAGTGAGTGTGTGTGTGTGTGTGTGTGTGTGTGGGCGTATGTCTGCATAATATAAAGACTGTGTCCATGGACTGAAGTGAATTATCAGTTTTTTCTCTATCTCTGCCTCAAATATTCTTTGTTTCCTCTGTTTACAGCAAGTGTTCCTCCACTGTCAGGTGTTAGTGTGCGGGTCAGGAGACTCCCGCTGTGCTCAGCACTGTCGAGGACGTGTCCGACGGGAGGCACGGACCAGTGACCCTCAGGAGCAGCACACGCTCACTGGAGGCCCCATCTTCATCCTGCCTTAGTCATGATGCTAACACTCAGCCAGGAACATGGCATGAGAACAGGCCAGCAGCATATAGGGCAGAATTTATCTGCGGGTAGGAGGGTTGTATCCAGTTCAAACTTCAGTTCTTAAAGATTAAAATGAACTAGTAACGCTCCTATCTTCCAATTTTGCATTTTGAAATTCACAGTCCCAATAATGCACTAGTTCACGCTCATTTCTTCTGTTTTCTTTTTTACCTCTTGAAAATCACCGTGTCACCTTAATATTTGACTTTAACTCTGGATAAAAAAAAAGATGTTCACATTTAATTTTATTTGGTATTTACAGCACCAAACAAATGTAGGTATATACACAGACGCTGAGTATCTCATTTAAAATCCCACGTATACACATATACATGCAGATATACACACTCCTCTCTTCTCCACCTCCGGTGTCCCTCACATCACTTTGGATTACTCAATTTCTCTTTAATGCATCTGAGTGTGTGAGTCTCATCCACTTTGCCTGGCAGCACAATTTACTGACATTAGAATGAATGGCATTTCTATTAGAAATCATTCTGAGGGGCCACAGTTCATTTGTAACAACTGCAGCATGAGGGATGTTTTTCTGGGTCACACTTTCTCAGGCTTGATTATGGCTTAAAGATTTGGTGGATTTATGAAAATGGTTTATATTTCACATCATCACTGACTTGGAAAAATACATGTGATACATCTGCAGATGCTTCTTTTTTTTTTCTTGACTCATATGCTCGGTATAATCAATGGCCGGGGAGCATGTCACACATTACAGCATGGTGGAAAAGAGATGTCGGAGCGCCGTGCCTGGAAATTATGCACATCCCTGCTTCATCACTCTGACAGTTAATCTAGAATTAATCAAGTCAGTTAATCTGCAATTAGTCGTGTATTTATCCATACAAAATAACAAATAACATACAAATAACTTACACCTAACATTAACACAGTATAGCTGTAATAGGCATCACATTTTATCTGATGCAGATTTGAGGTTTGAGCAAACTAGTCTAATAAACGTCAAATAGCAGCAAACACTGAAACACATGTGCCATAATAATGATCCTGTGTCTTTCTGTCTAGACCATATTAATCCAACTGCAATATCCTCCCCATCAGGAAATTAGTTTGGAGTAATTTATGGTAATGGAGTCATAGGGGCCAAAACATGGCCTAAAAATGAAAAAGAAAAGAGTGGAGAGTGTAATATGCATGAGTGATTCATTAAGATTCTAAAAGTCACAACCAGACACTTAATATTTGTTCGTAATTTCTATGAATAAAACCCAAGAAACTGTTCATCTGCATTTTCCATGTATGTCTTTTTTATAAAACTCTGACTCATGAGAAATATCTCCTCTTTGACAAAGAAACCTATAAATACTCAGAATAATCTGCGGCTAATGAGACTGGTTATTTGCTCGTGATAGTGTTCATGCAGGGGTCGTCTATAGTTTTCTGTATCACAGTTCATCCCTCTCCTCGTCCCCGCAGACGCACGCTGCCCTCTGGCTGTTCATGTAAGGCCTGCAGCCCAGAGTCCCCACTGTTTTGTGAAGGACGTCTGCCATGGAGTCACAGGCTGAGAGGAGAAGAGAGAGAGGGAACAAAGAAAGAGAAAAAGAAAGGAGGCAGAGATAACACAGAATTGTTATCATATTCATAACATCATATATATTTTGCGGTGGTGGAGACAAATTCAGATCCTTTGAAAATACTCCTCTACAAGTAAGGATCCTGCATGAGTAGAAGTATTTCAGTAAAATGTACTTTATTATGTACTTTAAACTTATACTTTTTCATACTTCAAGTATGAAAAATAAAAGTGCACTATAATGCTTTGCTATTTTATGTGATGTTTTTGGATTCATATTGCTGCTGCTTTGTACTGCTGAAGATGTTTCTCTATATGTTGAGTTCTTTAATAACAGTTGAGTAGTTAATACATAATATTCTATTAGATCATCATATGTTTGTGAGAACCATGTACCTCTAGAAAGTTAACTATTCATGAGGTCTGAAAAACAGCCTGAAATACATAAAGTTTATCCTTCAGTGTATCACAAACATTCAACATTAACACACCCAGAGACATGTGGTTCATACTGACTTCTGCAAAGTGACTAAAGCTGTCTGCCAATGGTATGGGAGTAAAAAGTACAATATTTGTATAAAGTTGCATAAACATAAAGCACAAGTACCTCAACTATACAGTACTTGAGTAAATATATGTAGTTACTGTCCACCACTGATATTTTGCCACAGTACAGTCAAGAAAAGGGGAGGAGTAACTATTTGCAAACTTCTCACCTTGTACCTGCGACACAAAGCCCAGGCTCTTCCTGAGGTCAGAGCAGATGTCGAGCAGACACGAGCGAAACACAGCATCACAGTCGTTCTTGCTCGTGCCGCAAGTGTCGTAGCACATGTCGAGCTGGTCACAGCATTTTGTCATGACAGGGACCCCGAGGTCGAGCTGTGAAAAGAAAGAACTTTATTGTGTCAGTGCAGCACTAATAGATCAAGCATTTTTCTAAATCAGGGGCCATGAAGGGGCCACAATTTACACAGACAAGCCAGTTATATGTTAATCAAGCATGTACAGATCCTGGTGCAGTAAAGCCTCGTTCACACTACATGAGTTTCAGCCCAGTTTACCCACAAAAGCACTGATTGGTGCTCAATTAGCTAAGTGTTAAGTCTTTAGAGGTTCGCCATTCTGATCAGATTTACAACCTCCTGGAAATCTTGTCAGAGTCTGCGACTACTCAAGCCAACTCCAGCCACTCAGAGCACAAGAGATAACCAGACTGTTTGTCGGATTCAGTGTGGCATCAATTTGTTTTTCTTATGCCCCAGCCGCTCTCTATTCTTTCACCGCCACTAGCTGGATGTATCATTCTACAGCAGGATGATCACCAGATTCACTCTTTTCATGACTTAACGTAGTTTGGAGACCAGTTGGAGGATTGTGTAGTGTGTGACCCTCTGTTTTCACCAGTCATATAATGTGAACTTATGAGAAATTGTCATATTTATAGTTAGTATTGTTAGTAAACAACTATTTTACAAAAGATTACTGACAGGACAGGGGCACTTCAGGGGCCTGTCAGTTTTTAGCCCCACCTCTGGATCTGCCCCTGTCCTGCTAATTAGTTCAGTCTGCTAATACAGATGTATTATATGGGTTTAATAGTGTAGTTATGGGCTGTTGGTGCTTGGAAACAGGCCACCTACAGCTTCATTCACCTGGAATCCCACCAGAGACGAGCTGCAGCCATTGGGCTCCGGGAGCTGGTAGCCGGCGCGAGGCCGAGGAGTTTCTCCTAAGAGAACAAAAACAAAGAAGTGAGCTGAATGTGTAAACGTGAACAAAGTAATGTCATCACGTCCTCCCAGTCACAGGATATCTGTGTTCTTAGGTGTTCATCTCTTCAAAGATAAATGTAACTTCTGTTTGAGAACATCAGTATTGATTGTGTAACTGTAGGTACAGACTGATAAACAGAACGCAGGCAGGTTTCAGTATCAGCAGCTTCAGGGCAGAGTACGTTATCTTGGATCGAGACATTAGTGGTTGATAAACTGACAGAAGCATTGATTCAATCTGCAAGTTCAAGTGAGCTGATCAAATAAACACACATGAAGACAACATAATAATGATTGGAAATCCTGCTTTGGAAAAACCTGAACATCCATTTGTCTCTGTGTCTCCTAAATGACTTTTTCCCCCGGGACACTTAATATTAGTTTTTTCTCTGAAACTCAACACTCAGTCTTACCATATCTGCAGCGGTACTGGCACACACCATCTTGACCCCCCACCAGCTCCACCAGGGAATCAAAGTATCCGTGCATCGTCTGGAAACTATTCCTAATCGAGTGGAGGCCCCAACTGCTTTTATCTTCATTAGCTGAGGGTGTGTCCAGGGAGCGTTTTGTCTCGACCGGTGTGATCTCATTCCCCTCTTCCTCAGGGGAAGGTAGCTTCTGGGTGACAGCTTCCTCAGCGAGGGCCTCCTCAACGAGGGTCTCCTCAGGGAGGGTCTCCTTAACAAGGGCCTCCTCAGTGGGGGTCTTCTCAGGGAGGCTCTCCTCAACGAGGGCCTCTTCAGCGAAGGTCTCCTCAGTGAGGGTCTGCTCAACAAGGGCCTCCTCAGCGAGGGTCTCCACAGCATTGGAGTCTCCGGCAGGTACGTCACTGTCTGCCCCCGGCTCTTCAGCAGCGGCACCATCTGCTACGAGGACATCCACTTCATTGTTGTCAGCTGCTGGTTGATCCACTGCCAGTATTTCTTCTGCCTTCTCAGCTGCAGGAGCATCATCCTCCTGTTCCACTGGAGCAGCAGTTACATCTTCTCCAGCTGCATCCACAGAGGCAGCTGCAACAGCACCATCACTAAGAGCTGCTGGATTTACAACAGGGGCCTCCTCCTCCTCCACTGTCTTCTCCTCCTCCACCTCCTTTGCTTGAGCCTGGTAGTGGCCTAAAGTGGCACACATGGCAACAGACACGCAGAGGAGGAGCAGGGCCAGATTTCGAAGCAGCATGGTGTTAAAGTGGTGGCAATCCAGGCAGAGGAAGCTCCACGCAGGACGAGGTGTTGTTAAACAGTGAGGGACAAAAACACACTGTGCCACTGGTGTCTCTGTCAGCCAGAGAGCAGACTTTGACCTGTGATTAGGTCCCAGCAGACAGCGAGGCACTCTATCACGTCAGGGGCAAAGGTCACCCCATTATCAATCCTAAGAACTCTTATTCTCTTATTCTTCTAATCTACTCATTCCCTGTGATTCCCTATCACATTCAATTGATGCATTTTTATCCACAAAGCTATAATTGAAGTTTAATGACACGATCCTGGAGCAAACATTTTTTATAAAAGTATTCCCTTTAACATTTGACGCCTCGAGTGCTGGCATTTCAGCCTGTGACCTTTCATCAAGATATCACACACTTCAAACGATCTTCAGTGGGTTTTGATAAAGGTCACACTTCAGCACTGAGAATACGTTCAGAGACACAACTAAACATTTTCATGTTCATTTGTCGAGAGAGCATTGGGTGGATTTTTCAGACTAACCTGCTCTAATGCAGACGTCACTGTGTACAAGTCTTTTCTAATGTGCACCTGCTGCCCTCTGGTGTTTGAACTGTAATGTGCATCCAATACTGGAAATTGAATTGTTCTTTTCGGTTTGTCCTCCCCAAAAAGAGAGGTTTGTTTTTCTGATACCAGCAGTAAGTTCTGATAAGGGAGTTTTTCTTCCACTGCCTTTGTGAAAATGAATATCAATGATTTCCTTTTGCATCATGGATCCATACAGAATAAATCAGAAAAAGGTGGCTGATAATATGCAGAACTTTTGTTCAGTTCATTAGAAAGTTAAAGTTTGTCATATTAACAAATACTTACAGGGATGTCCTGGGTCACTAAAACAAATATACATGTTTGAAGTGTTAAACTTACTATTGTTCTTTCACAGTAAAGTGAGTGGAAACTGTGAGACCTGAATTCCTCTTGTATGAAACACCACATGTGCATGTGATCACTTTGTCTGAATCACTTCTAAAAGTAAATGTCAGTGTTCACTGCTAAAAAAAAAGAGCAGATTAAATTCCAATTTCAAGGTAATTGCTCTAGTTGTGCTCAAATATTTTCATTTTTATCATTTATATGACACTTAAATTGTATTACTCCACTACTTCAATATGACAGCTATGGTAGAATAATATTAGTCTTAATACTAGTATATCAGAAGTTACCGAAATGAAAGTTTTACTAACACATGATTCTGTAAAATATACTGCATCATTAGAGGTCAAACTATACAACTGTGTATAAAGTAGCAAATATTAACTTCACATCAGCCTAATGCAACATTTAAATCCTGTAAGATGTCTCATTAGTAACAATTGAGGACTGAATGGACATTGTGTTATTACTTGCTGGCTGATACTAGCAACAGCTATGATCTGATCATCTTCTGGTACAGACCTAACTAAACTAAACTGAAATGAGAAGGGGGTGTAATCAAGTTGTTGCTGGTTGTCAAAGATGTGAAATAAATAAATAAATAAGTTGAAAAACTTTTTATTCAAATTACACTTTAACAAATTCAACCTGTGTGACTTTATAGTAATCTCTAGGGACGATTCTCTGGTTTACTTGTTGATGAAGCTATTTGCTCTCTGTCTGTAGATCACTCTGTATTTCATTCCACAGTGTCCTATTGGTAAATACAGAACAGAGGAGAGAAGAAGAAAATAAGAGTCACTTGATCTCTGTAATCAACAGCAAAGTCCTGCAATCAGCTGTGACATCAGTGCAACATTACATGTACCGTCTTATGGTCTTGCTTGACTTCTCTCTATTCAGCACCATGTTGATTTTGTGCTCCAGATTCTTTAGGGAAAAATACAGAGTAACAAAAAACATCACCCTCTATTATGTAGCAGGAAATGCATTTGAAATATGTCATGGTTTGACAAATGTGATGATGTGGCAGGAAAAAGGTCAAACTCTCTTGCCTCGTTGGTGGCCTTCAGGCGGGCGTTTATCGCTATCAGTCTTACTCTTTCTGACTGGAGGAAAACAGAAAAAGAGGTAAATATAATCTTTAGTTATATAATTCACAGCAATTTATTTCTAAAAGAGGTCAAAGGCCAACATATTCCGAGGATAAGCAGTCTATCTCCCAGCACCTTTAGGTGTTTGATGTGTTTTTCAGTGGCGGTGGTCGTAACAGTAGACACCAGCTTTTCCTTAATCTCCTCCTCCAGCTGCTGGATCTCCCTCCACATGATCAACACCTGGAGCCTCTTGACTTGCACACTGTCGCTGTGGCTGAGAGAGGTCCCACTGTCCGGCAAGCCTGACAGAGACGCATTTGTCCAAACACAGAGGAACACAAGCATGAATGCACTGTAGTGACTAATGCATGTGGAGCTGTGTGTTTGTATCTATGTGCATACACACCCCTGCAGACATCATACAGTCACAGCTGACTCACGGACACTACAACACTCGCTTTATGTCTGATGACATGACAAAGTGATTATTTGCTCAGTCTATCCACAGACTGAACAAATGTGCTGTTGCCCTGCAGGGTAATAAACAGTACAGCTAATGCTTGGATGTGGTTTACCAATGATTACATGTACCAATGTAGTCTTGAGACTTACTCTTCATGGCACTGTCCTCTGGGCCTGTGAGAGCTGGAACATTGTGTGATTCATTTCGGACTCTGGGATTAAAAAAAGAACAAATATGCTTAAACTAATAGAATGGACCATATGTGTGTGTGTGTGTGTGTGTGTGTGTGTTTAGAGAGATCCTGGCAGTACCGTTTATTCTCCTGTAGAGCCCTCCTAGCCTCCTGCTCCAGCCTGCAAACCTCTTTTTCAGCTTCATCCAGCTCCATTTCCATTTCTTTGCATCTGCCAAGATCTTCAAGTGAAACATTCAGCAACTGTGACATAGGAACAACAACAACTGTCAATTATGTCCAGGCCTCATGATGCTCTTTACATTGAAATGTAAGTGGAACTATATTACAGGTGGCAGTCCTGGTTCAGTTCCTAATGGACATGTGGCCTAAAACTGAATGACAGGCCTTGTAAGTTTTATCTTTAGTCCTTTTAACTGATCATGATTTTAACTTTTAACTGATGCAGTTTTTTTATATTACTCTAATTTTGTAATTTTAAAATGTTGCAACATCAGAGATTTTTTTTCTTTTTTTCTTTCATGTATTTATTTATTAATTAATACAGTTGTATTTAAATTTACAGTATACTGAATATATGGGCGGTTTACTTTACCTGGTCATGTGGTGCAGACTGTGAATCCATCATGTGGTTGACATACAAATCATAATCTGTCTGGAAGATAAAAATATAAACAATATTTGTTTATATTATTACATGTGTGGTGCACAGATATCCAGCTATGTTAGCATATGACATTAAAGTTACTGTGATATTCTAGGCACTATTAAATTATACATTCTTAGTATTTTTGTGATATGCATAAATAATAAAGCATAATCCAAGTTCTTCATCGTTGTATCCTGCCATGACTGGATAATAATGTCAACCTGTCTACTCGATACAACATATAAATACCAAGCAATGAACAAAACATGTCTTACTCTGACATATTTCTTATGAATGACGATAATGGACCTGTTGCCCTCTGACAACCTCCCACCTGACACATCCTGACTGGGGTCCAGTGGTTGCTCCACTTCCACACGCTACACCAGGGACTCACTCTCTCTTAGCGCTATTACGTCTTATGGCACATGCTAAAAATGTGCTAGTGGGTACAGAGGAAATGGAAAAACCTTAATTTCCCTCAGGATGCGTCCAAATACTGGCGAGCTTTCACATACATCATCAAAGACGTCACTGAACACCGCAAGGCGGTCTCTGCTGGGCCAGCTCTGCACTGACAGCTTCTTCAGCTCCTGGATATGACAGGAACACACACACACACCACACATCATTAGCAAGTTAAAATGTGCGTGAGAATCTGTGCATGTCTTTATTCATGCACCTTCTGTAAGAGTGTTGAGAGGACATTACAGAATTACCATCTCATTCAAAATGGACAAAGTGGAAAGCCTGAAAGTTAAAAACTAAAGTGTAAAGTGATGGTTTGTGTGCATCTCACCTTTTGTAGCTTCCTCTCGTGCATTTCTGCAACATTTCTTCCAGCCCAGAGGTCCTGCTTTGCTATAAATTCCCTGCCAAACCATTGTTTTGTCTTAAGATGGTCTTCATTATTCAGTTCTCCGTGGTCAACATGACTTGAGCAAAATTGTTGTTTCCCCTCAGGATCGGATGAGGATTCAGATTTTTTCTGGGAAGAAGCTCTCAGCTTGGACGGCACAGGGTTTGAGGAACAATGAACCATCTCAGGTACACAACCATCTCTTCTGCCTGCATGTGGTAAGCGATCAGTCTGGTCTTGTCTCGACTCCAACACCTCAGACTCTACCAAATTAGTGCTGGCAGTAAACTCTGAAGGAGACTCTCTCATTTCTTTGTCCCTCACAACAGTCAGTGTCTTTATTTGTCTCCGCTGGACTGTCAGAGGCTTTAGGGTTTCTCCTTGGCTCTGGGACATCCTCCAGAAAGGCTGCTTTGTGTCCATATGAGGCCGGTTCGGGCTGCGGGGCCCCAGATGACCTGAGCAGGAGGTCAGGGTGTCAGCCCTCTGAGCAGCCTCAGCAGCCTGCAGCAGTCTGTTGACGTCGGCCCTGAAGCTCCCAGGCTTCGGCCTGCTGCTGCTGGACATGACTGAAGACACAGATTCATTCAGTTGTGATTCACCGAAGTGATCACCTAATGTATAAGACATTACACACTATAAATACATACATATGCATCATAGCAGGCATGAGATGTTGCCATTAAGCTATAGATCATTTCAATAAACTGCATTTACAGAAAATATAATAAACAAATATATTGTTTAACTGAATTAACTAACATACAGTGGGTGACTTTGAAATAATAAATTGATGTTATAACAACAGAAACATGTGAAAACAAACTATAGTGAATCCAGACAGTTCCCAAACAAACCACTTCCGCGTTCGTCAGGCACCACAAAAACAAAACGAGCGTCGTATTTTTTTCTTTTGCGTGATTTAAGTAAATGTGTTAATGCGCAACTGGAGCGCAAAAACAAAGTGGACATAAAGAAAGGATAAGTAATAATCCCACCGGTTATCAAACTGTGTTTTACATCACGACTGAAAATCTTCCTTCATCAGTGTTTCCTCTCCTCGGTTGCCAAGGAGACCGACACGCGTAAGCGTTGCGTTTAGAGCCTCGTTAATAATCGGACCCAAGAGCTTTAAGTTGCGTGTGATCTCACCTGAACCTGCAGAGACAAGAAACGGACGTAAAAACCAGGACGCGTTTGACACGTAGTGCAAAGACAACCAAGGATTAATGAAAGGACAATAAGAAGAAAAGCAACTAAATAGGAATCAGCTAACTAAACTTCCAGCAAGTCACGTGTTAAATTGTTGTGGCTGACTGATAAAACTCACGTGCTTAGAAAAGATATATATATTTTTTATGCTTCAATTATTTGATATGTATGATTCAGTCCTTGAAAAATTCAAAAATCAGACACAGTGGAGTTTATTTTAAAATCTAAACTTTCCACCACATAGAACCATTACCCTCATTGTCACGTTTAAAAGTCTTTAAAATCAATTTTCATTGATTTTAACATGTGCTGTTAATTTTCTACTATTCTTTCAGCCACGGATTCCTATATGTTTCAATGTGTGTTCTTTGTTTTAAATCAGTTTGCTGTGTTTTATTATGTTTGTGTGTTATCTGTCCCTGCTCGTGTATATTATTTGAAACTTTTTAAATTCATATTTCCCCATCTTGACCAGAACTAAAAGAGATATTGTATCTCAATGTGACCTTTCTGGTTAAATAAAATAAGTAGAGTATAGTGTCACCATCTGCCAATCACTTTTATTCCACTTTGTTGTCTTATGTTGAGCATGATGCGTACTGGTGTCTCATAGAAAAGGGTGTTCACACATAAAGTGAAGCTGATTCACCAGGCTTCATCTTAGTCATCCATATCATTATTAGTGAACCCCCACCCCCCTGGGACTGAATAACCAGTCTGCAAGTCAGCAGACTCATCACTGCTGCTGCTGCTGATGTCAGTACCATCATCTAAGTTCATCAGATCCCCTGACCTGGATCCAGAGGCAAAACAAGGTGACAAGGTTAAAAAATGGTTTCCAACACTGCAAATGACAGATTCGTGTTTTGTGAATTCATTAATATGTAAAAAAGAGTGACCAACAAACTCAAGTCGTCTTATTTTGTGGAAGCCTGCCCAGTCGTCTCCCTGAGATGAATCCTTTGCGCACAGTAACCCAATTACCAGATGAATCATGTAAACATTGGTTATAGGGGAAATCCTATAAATGCTTTAATCAAACTATTATCTTAATTGGGTTATTCACAATGATTGGCTTCTTGTGTGCAAGTAAACACACAGTCATGAGTGAAGCCGGTGCTGGAAAACAGAAAAGAAGAGGAGAAGAGGAGTGAGACTCAGCCTTGGGGCTGGAATAGCCAGAATAGGAAAGCACCCAGATGGCAAAGCTGAGCTGAAGGAAAGAGACAGTGTAACATGATATGCTTCATTGAAACAAATAGGGCTACATGATGGAGTTGGCATTCATTGTGATGTCCACTAACGTTTGATGAAATGATGATTAGGAGGATGCCTGGAGAGCTGAAGCATTTGCCTGCCAACTGAGCTTGTTGTGTAGATGACAACAACCTCTTTATTGTATTCTATATAAAAAAGATAAAAAGTTGTAGATAACTTTATGTCTCTGTAGTAAATTTACCAGTTATTAAAATGTTGTTAACAGATAATGATCACACGTGTTGCTGAAATAAAAATGTGCCTGTATCTATAAATGTTATAAAAATGCATAACTGTAATTAACCACTTTAACTAGGGAAACCCTGGGCAAAGAAATAAAGAAACGTGGTGTGATGAATCATCCGTCCAAATTAATTTTAATTGGGGAAAACCCAGAGGACACCTTCTAACGTCAGTCGCTTGCATCTAACACTGGAGCGGGTCTGAAGTGGTGGTGGGCAGCCATCTTGTGGAAATGAGTAGGTTTCATTGTTCGTCTGAGAGATGACAAGAGTGTTCAGACAGGAATATTTGTACCATGTGCTGCAAATTTGTTTATATGCTGATATAACATATTAAAAGACAACGACAAAAAAAACTGCTACCACATCCTTTGAGAATGAGAAGAAGGGTGACATTTAGGACTGTTTGCAAAATACAAACTGACACTGTAAGAGCCACTTGATGGGGCCATGGTCATGTGACAAAATTCTTAAATTATTCTAAATATTTGTATAATTTGACAGATAGTCAATTTGTTTGTCCCACTCAAAACTAAGGAAATACATTATCAATATTGTTTCTGCAGCCCTACCAAAACAATAATATGAATGACATATTAGTTAAATACATTAAATACCAGTATGTTTCAAACAATAAGTGAAGAATGATCTGACACACAGGTGTATTTTTCAGGTATTTAATAAAAGTCATTTGGGCTTCTGCTCTTACATTTACAGTTGAGACATTCCTCAATTATTCTGGATAACAGTAACATGTCGAGACCGTTTTGTTTATCTGGGTGTTTCACTTTGTACAAAACAAAAAGGCCAACATTATTTTTCTTTGTATAAAAAATATAAGTTAATTTAAATTTAACTCTAATTAAGAAAATAACAATAGTAATAAGAGCAATAATAATAATAATCGTCAATAATAATAATAACGCTAAAGTTCATGAGCTAAACATAGTGCAGACGATGGGATATAACTGGTGCTGAAAAGTAGAAGGGACAGTGCAGTGTAATGGACTTAACCATGTTCTCAGGTGGGGTTGGAATGGGGGAAAGAGACAGTCGAAATCACTCTCACTCTCACTCTCACTCTCTCTCTCATACACGCACACAGACACACAGTCAGAAAGCACACAACTGCCATTCAGTTTAGCACCATCAGAGTGAACAACTCAGTCTGTACAAACTATTTCCTAGGCTGTACATAATATACACCTATTAACCGCATATGCAAAACTATATATAAACTTCAGTTTAGGTGCATGCTAATTGTTGCTCTTGGTTGAAGCTCACTGGAAGCAATTCTTTAAAAGTAAGACAGAGCACGTCGTGGAAACCGACGATGCACTCTCACCCACACGGGGCCACCACCAAGGATCTGCAACCGACAAAACATTCATCAAAATGTACATTCACACCATTAATGGGGGGTGGGTGGGACGTAGGGGATGGGGGAGCCACAGTACCAGTCGGAAAAACAAATGATTTGAGCAGTACTTTCATTCTTGAAGAGGGACTAAGTCCACTGGAATGACAGTTTCAGACAAAAAAAAATAATTTGTCCTTTGGAAGATCTTGGGAACTCATTTGAAAGAGTCTGAAAAAAGAATTTAACCCCTGTGCACGGCGTTGGGAGACAGTGTCAGGGGAAGATTTTATTTTACCCCGTTCGTGGGTATGAGAGGAGCGTCACATCCAACGTCAACCAACCGTTGTTTATGTTGCAGTCCCAGAAGAAGACACATACGATGCACTTTAGCTTAACAGGTGAGACGGTGCAGGAGGATATGAAGCTGACCAACAGTTCTGCTGCGGCGTCGGCCCTGAATCAACAGCAAAATGACAAAATGAAAGTTCAGTGTCGTCACTACAGCTTTGAACCAGCAAGGACACCCGCTTGTGTAAGAGAAAGAGAAACATGTGAGAGTGTGTAGGCTACTTATTCCACACTGCACTCTTTGAAACCCTTCACCAGGTTTTAGAGAAGGAGGATTTCTGGACATGACATATACAACAGTTATTCACCTGTTGTTGCAAACAAACTAATCCTTATAATCCACAGGGACATTTGTGCGGTACATTTATTTTTAACACTTAATCTACAAGAAAGCAAATTGTGATTTTCGCTTCTCTTCATTGGCTTCTAGAATTTTAGTGATTTTATTGTTGACTTTCAAGGCCTTGCTCTCCATCCCACAATTGGTTTTAATTGTTTGCCCTAATAAAACATGTTTTTTACTTGTAAAGCACCTTGTAACTGTGTTTTGAAAAGTGCTATATAAATAAAGATTTCTATTAACTCAATTAAAAATGTGAAGTTTAATTCATGAAAGTGATTTTTGATGAATAAAAGTAGATAATTCACAATGTGATAGTGGTGTAAAAATATTGTTATGACAGTGGAGACTCAGTAGTACGCAGTGTTGTCTGACTATAAATGACACGAGCAGTGATTCTATTTGTGCATCTTTTTGTCTCGTGACCTCCCTCCACCAAACATTATGACTGCTGGCCCTGGGTCAGATCCTGTTGATCAGAGGGGAGTCCATGTATTTCTACAGCAGGTTCCTAAATGTCATGGGGAGCTGGGGGGCAGTGCTGAGGGGTCCCACTGGGGAGAAACATTGTGACTCTCTTGTGACTGCGTTCACAAGTGTCCACATTATCTAACTCCTCTCATCACAGTTCATCCATATTTAGTTTTATATGCTGCAGGGGGGATTTCTGCAATCTCCACCTAGGAATAGGCTGTATCACTTTATTCAAGTACTGCAAAGGATTTTTGCTCAAAAAGTGATAAAAGAAAATTAACATTCTGACGCCCACCTTCTCAATAAGGTGGCATTATACCATACATCTGCTCTACACATTCCTTCTGTCTCTGGGAACACCTTGCCGAAGTAGTGCACATACGATAAACCCTACCACAGAAGGCAAACAGTACCATTTCAAAAAAACAAAAAGAAAGCCTGAACCGACAACAAGATTTCACATATCCTAGCCTGTGAAAGGTTCAGAGTAAGGCCTCTGCAAATACAAGACCATAAAAGAATCAGCAAAAATAATAAGATACATATAACAACCAAAATAAAACAACCATAACAGCACAGGTCCATTCTACCAAATGAATTCCCAAGCTGAGTGGACGTAGGGTGATGGGTTGAAGTCCCTCAGCCCCATCAGCTGTCTGTCAGTCTCTGGGATTGGTGAAACCGCCAGTGTTGACACCTCCGTCACCCAATGAGGTAACTGTGTGTGTTTTTGTTTCTTTTAAAGTCAAGTCGCCTTTAGCTGATCCGTCTACCGCTGACACATGTAGGTTCTTCCTCCTGCAGGAGTTCCAGGTCTGTGGCAGGACTCAGGTTGTGTTCCTTTGGTGGGCCAGAGACCCCTTTGGTCGTCAGTTTTCCACCTTGACGGGGCCTGAATCACTAGGTCGGCTGGGCACCACGTCCTCCACCTCCCCCTTTGCAATCTTCTCCCACTGACCATGGTTCTCCCTGCAGACGCACAACACCTTAGGTCAGACACAGACTCTGCACGATATGGGTTTACAATCAGGACAGTGCTACCAACACAGACACTTAATTACATTATATTTCACCCCTGTCCGGTTTTTTTTTTTGGTTGACAGCAGGATTACATAAATAACTGATGGATAGAATACCATGGAACTTAGTTTGTTTTATGGTATGGTCAGAAAATAACTAATTAAATTTTGGTGCATATCAGCAGGTGGATCAAGGAATTTTCTGTGAATCACATTTTCACTTATTTCTATGGGAATTATGAATTCCGAGTATTCCGACTATGTTGAAGAAAAATGTCTGAGTTGAAGAATATACGTCTTAAAATGAGGAATAAGCAGCATCTTGTTAAGTTATACGATAATAGTTATACAGTAATACTCACAAATAACTTAATACATGATTTCTTTCTTATTTCTAACGTCACAGGTGGATATTGATGAGTCATATATGATTCATCATTATTGGGACAAAAATATATTTCTAACTTTTAAACAAACAAACACTGTAAATGATACTGTTAATGTAACACATTATGTCACTTCGCTGCTACAAGGGTATGCATTTCATTTTTACTTTAGACATGTTATTTGAATCAGCCAGAACTTAGAAGTGGAAATTAGAGATGGCTAAATTATGTTACTCTGGAAATGATGTCAGAAATATAAGAATTAAATAATCAGATTAAACATCAAAACCTTACAACAATCAACAAACCAAAAGTGCATTAAACCAAGCAAATCTGTATAAAGTGACTAAAGGCATTTCATTTATGCCGACAATTTATCCCAGAGAAAAATCTCAACAAACACATGTGACCACAGCCAGGGAGAGACTGTGCACTTCATTAGTCATCTGCAGACCCATCAGCTCTGCTTGTTACGGAGGTAACCTCCTCTCCTCCCCCTGCTATAATCAAGCCTGACATATGAGCGCAAAAAGTGCTGCCCTTTGCTGCCATTCCTTTCAATTAGCCAGCCTGATGCAGTTTACACGTCTGTGGCAAATCCCACAACAAGCAGCCGGGCTCCGCGGGGTCTAGGCCTGCTGCCCACCCAGAGCCCAGTGCTGACGTACTGCCTGGGCTTAAATATTACCATGCTCACTTTGTTTGCATTCCCCGCAGATCAAGGTCACAGCATTTTAAAAACTAGCGGGTTAACCCCAGAAGGGCGGGCGAGTGAACACGATCCCGCTCAACCACCATAAATTACACACAATACATTCTTGCACTCTTATCGAACGATGCACAGACACAGTTTCACATCACACACTCTGATGCACCATGTTATAGGAGGAGCCACAGTTTCCTGTTAGTACACTGTGTTCTATAAAGAAAAAACACTGAAAGAGATTTCAGAAAGCTATAGCACAAGTTTGTTTATTTAATCCAATACAGTAGCATGTGTGTTTTGTTCGCATTTTCAGTGGAATGTGGAACACACACATGCGCACAGACACACACACAGACACACACACACACACACACACACACTCCTTATCACCTCTAATCTTATTTGTCTGGCCAACTGCTGCTAGTCAGACCAGGCCTGCACACATATCATTAACCGTATCAGACAATACTGTGTAAAGGAACTGTTTTGACGAAAAAGCACCCATAAAAAAGAGACTTTCTCCAACGCTCTACACACTTTGTAGCTTTGAACACTTACTTGCAGGCTTTTAGTAGAGGACTGGATGGAGGGAAAAGCTCTGCTAGTGTTGTGTAACATGGAATTGCAACAGCATTGTAGAACCCCACCTTTAAAAAACAGCACAAAAAAGCAAATCAAAGTTTATTTATGTTTATAATTAGATAATAGGGGCAAGTTTATGAATACTTATCATAGTATATTGTATAAACTGTTCCAGAGACAGTCTGATAAATTAAGGGTACTACATTAAGGAACCATGGGCCATGTTGAATAGTGTGTTTACAAGATTATTATGCTCAATAAAAACATAATTATTCATTAATTATCATAATATATGCTATTATAATTATGATGTTTACCAGACTATTATGACTACTAATATGTTATCTGCTAAGTGATCTGATTTCAGACCCTGCACAGTATTGACATTAGTTGTGGTAAAGAGTTAACCTTTTATAATTTATCATGCATTACATTACATTACATGTTATTTAACCAACACTTTTATCCAAAGCCACTTACACTTAGTGCATTCAATATCTGTGAGGGGCAATTTTTGTGGGGGGGTTTAGCATCTTGCTGACCTTAATGCAAAATATATTCAACTACATAAGTCCATAGTTTTGGGCTTTTTACACTGTATGGTCCTTCTAGTACTTTTTTTATTTTGATCTTGTGACCCTAGTCACTGAACTTTTTCTGATTCCAACTTTTCCACTTTAATCCTACCTGAGCAAGACATTCTAATTGTCTCTACTCCTTGTTTTCTTTTTAAAGTATCACTACCTTCCTTTTTCTGGCTATTCCACTCAATCAGAGTGAAATGTTAAATTCTCTGAGCACGTGAGGGTGTGAATGAAGAGTCACATGAGCTAAAGAGCTGGTCTCACTTGGCCTTGGGGAACCTCGTCCTTCTTGTCTCTGTCCATCATTGGGATCGGCTGCATCCCAATCTTCTTCATCTCATCTCCCTGTTGAGGAAAAAAATAATAAGAGAAATTTACTTTTAATTACTGCTGCAAATCTCCTGCCCGTTAGACAACACTAGTCTGTGTCTTACAAACTGCAGGATATCTACAGTGGGTGTAGCAACATTTACACGTATTAATAGAAGTCTGCTTGTTACACTGGAGGCATGGCATGACACTAAAACCCCAACAGTATCCCACAATACCTCAGCCCAGAACTCAGCATAGATGTCGTTGGCTGTGAGTCGTGTGATTTGCCATTGCTTGGTAACAGAACACAGGTCACATGCTGTCATCATCAGACCAATCACACGGTCCCTGGAGGGGAGCAAAGCCTCGTTATGGCCATGTGAAGAAACTCAATGGGCTGTTTATGTGCACCAGATCTGCATGTCTCTGAAAGATCTGGTGCGATCCCGTGTACCGGTGCGAGTCGAGTCGAGACCTCACCTGTGCGAGTAGTTGTTAAAGTCCAGCCCACCCTTGGTCAGCAGCTCTGACAGCTGCTGGTGGTTGTTGAAGTAGAGGGCGAGGTCCGTGGCAATGATGGCCTTCCGGATGATCTCCAGCACCTGCTCGTACTCAATGGAATTCAGGTTGGAGAAAATATTGTGCCCTTCCAGCTATGAGAAACAAAGAGATCAATAAAAAAGCAAAAGCTCCACTTATGAGGCGTTCAGCTCAGCGAGACTACAACAGGGTGTAATCTCAGATTCATCCCAGGCCGTCGTAGGTTCATGTCATCCCAGCTGCTCCTGGACGTCACAGGGGAGGGGCTTTCAGACGTAAACGCTGTGTGTGTGTGTATGTATGTATGTAAGCATTCGTTTTCTAAAACTTATATGTTAATCTAAGCATTTCTGTGTGAGTGTCATGGACTGTATATAAAAATGGATGACACGTCTCCACTTCTTTCACTATCCAGATATTAAGCTTAAATATCCTTGACACAAAAGGCGCCAGCTTGTACAGCTGGAGCCAGAGTCTGCACAGTCGTCTGGTAGTGACTTCCCATTGAGACACAATGTCGTCCATCTATATAAATGGCAAAAATTAAAACCTAAAATTTTAATAAATTCCAGGATGACTTTTATCTCAGTAGTTTTAGTCTATAAAAGCAGCTCCATGGAGTTTTAAAGCTCATTACACCATAACAACTGTCTTTTTAAAATCGCCATCTGTCTTCACTGGCAAGCTTCAAATTGTGATGTGAAGTTTGTCCGCATGTGGAATCATTTTTCACATCCTCTCCCTGCTATGTTCAATTACTTTTTAATCCCTGTGATTCTTTTTATGTGGTGTTTCCGTTGATTTTGCCAAACGTCTGAAGCAAGATTATAAAGTAATTAAAAACATGTTAGGTTAAACACATCATTTCATACTTGTTGTTAGCATATAAAGACAATAAACAGATAGAAATGTTCTGCATGGGGGAGCTCTACCTGCAGGATGGAGACGGTCTGAGAGAAGTGGTGCTGCTCCATGGTGGAGGTGGAATACAGAGCAGCCAGTGGATGGTCAAACTTCTGCAGGTACGCATTGCTGTAACCCCGGTGGTCCAGGTCATGGCACAGGCAGGCTATCAACAGACCTTTCTTCTGTAAATCAGAGTAACAACATCATAATAAAAAATGATTACATGACCTCAGAGGATAATCTTGCTCTCCATTTCATTTATTTTTGACGAGCTGTGCTAAAACCCAGACCCAACAAGGGGCAAACCTCAAGCTCTGTGAAGATCCCAGAGGTTTTCTGTAGGATGGCATACATGCAGTGTGCCACCGTCACTGCATGCTTCCAGTTGTGGTAGGGCACACGTCGGTAGTTCTTCCGTACGGACATGGTGAACCGGCACAGCTTCTCCAGCTCAAAGCTACCAGCAGCGAGGGGGAAAAGAATGATTAACTGTTGCTTTGATGAAGAACTGACGCTAACAGAGTCATCTGTGACGCCTTACCTGGTCTTTCCACAGGAGTTATGAACCATGTAGATAAAGACCGCAGGCCAGATCTCCTCAAAGGGATTGATGTCAAAGTGGAACCTGGAGGACGGAGAAAAGGAGGAGAGTCTTAAATTAGCAGCACACCTCGGAGACGGAGTGGAGACAGATGAGGGGACATCAGAGGACAGTGAGTGTTGAAGTGACAGATTCAGACAAGTCCAGATCTGGACTCTTTCACAGTGGTGCGGGTCTGCTACTCTCAGGTTCACGGCTTTCATACATAAGCAAAGCTGCTCTGCATCTGAATCTGAAAGTGCACTCACGTTTCGATCTCTTTATAAATTGGTGCAGGGAGGTTGAGCTGGGTGAGGGTCTTCCATTCTTCCGATGTGCAGATGCTGTGATAAGACAGTTTCTCCATCGTCACTCTGTAGATGCATTCAGAGTGCCGGATCCTGTGGTACATCTGTGAGAATCACAGAACATGAACTATAATTAAAGAAACTGAAATTAAAGAATATTTCTTATTATTGTTGAATTCTTTGGCTATTACTGTTCAAACAGAGTTAAGTTGTCCACCACAGTCCTGCATCATATTTTATCTGCGTGTCTGCACATCTGGTTTGTATCCCTGTCCCCTTCCCAGACACGCAGAAATAAAGATGGGTGCCAAAGCCTTACACCTTCCAACCATAAATCACCGTAAATCAGGAGCCAGCCCAAGTCCGTTTCCGAGAGACGTGCGGAATAAATTACGGCCAAACATAACTCCTGTCGGCGGACGGATGCCTGCTCGTCTTAAAACATTAAATTGCCTCATCAATTTTAAAAAACAACTTTGTGACGCTGCTCCTGCGTAAGTTTGTCGCACGAGATGATGGTGAGTCAGGCCCCACAGAGGGGAGCGGCTTCTGACAGACAGGGCACACAAGGCAGGCTCAGAGAGAATCGTGAGAGGTAAGAGATGGTCTTGACTGTCAACCGTCAGATGAGATGCTTTTGTTCAGGTTTTTGGGGACAATGTACATTTTAAAGAACAGCTGTTGTCACTACCTTTAGAAAGAAACAGGGAAACCTGCCGTTTAATACCAGCTGAAATGAGCCTCGCAGCAATGAGAGTGAATTTAAGATGAGGCATCTACGTCAAAGGTGCAGTTTTCTAAAAATAAGCCAGAATCAAGTATTCATTGCTATGACCGTCACATAACCTACCTACACTGCATTACATTAAGAGGAGGCCTGTGCACACACCAAGATCATGTTTCTGCTGTTTCAGTTAGTTTAAATATCTTAAGATGAATTTAGCGTACTCACATTTGCACAGTGTAAGGCCAGAGCACAAAAGACAGCAAACATCTTAAAGTTGTTCTCATCTGTTTTAGTGAAGGCACTTCCGTTTAGCTTGTTCACCATCTGCACCACACCGATAACGGTTCCCCTGCTCACGATGGGCATGCACAGGATGTTCCGTGTGGTGTAGCCGGTTTTCAGGTCCACCTCTCTGTTGGGGAATAGAATGTGAGGCATGGTAAGTTCACATGTTTATGGAAGCAGAAGTGGTGTAAACTGAAAGCTTTACAGTACAATAATCATTTAGGACAACTTTATGAATGTTAACAGGATTGTCGAGAATCATTTGTAATGGGAAAAGATGAGAAAAATGTCTTTTTCGCAGAGTCTGTTGGATGTTACCGGTTGAACCGTGGATCTGCATAGGCATCTGGGATATTTAAGACTTCCCCTGTCTGAGCCACCTGACCTGCTATTCCCTTCTCTATAGAAAACCTGAGAAGACAAAGAAACAGAAGAGGAGAGCAGTTTAACTTGTTGATATTTTCATTAAGACTTCTCAGTAACTCTGTGCTGGGTAGATGAGTGAAACTCTACATTAAAATCTATGGATCAGTAATATGAAAACCCAGAGACAGGGGTTAGGGGTTATTCTAGCTGCACCAAGAAAAGACCCTAAGTACGCTTGTACAGCCCCTGAAGATATGAGGCCTACGTATATGAAGAACACAAATCTAAAAGAGTGAACTATCAAGCAGACTGTGAGAGAAGAAAGCAAATGTTTTTACCAACCTAATTTCTTTGGTTTTCCTAAAGACAGGTTTTCCTTCTTTCTCTTCCCCGATATCGAACAGGTCTGAGTACAGTTCTTTGTTGTTGTGATCTACCTGGAAGAGTGCGCACCGGTCCGCGTTCACCAGGTTTTTTGCATATATCTGCAAAACAACACCGAGGACACAAGTTTCATAGCAACACTGAGGATTTGAAAGAACTGAAAAAAAGTTTAAAACACGTCTCGCACCTAAAGCTTAGCTAAATCAGATACATCGCTACGGTTTTAATTTTAAATTCTTTTGGATGAGACAGTTGAGAATGTGGGGATGCACACAGTACAACTACAGGTCATTCAAGTTTGTTTAAACCAGATGGCTTGAATGACCTCAGATGACACCACAGTCACAAGGCAACAAAATACGTACAAACAGAGAGGTGGGTTTTAGTGACAAGACACAGGAAAATCACATTTTACACACATCTACATCATCTGTTTGAGATTTAGACAAAGTGGATGAAAAACTCACGGGAGCTAAGTCTGATCATGAACAGTATTTAGTAAGTATCTATTACACTGATGAGAACTAATAGTTCTAAATATCACTATTACTATGTTGTATTAATGCCAACAAGCTTGTATAATGCCCCTCGCATGTCGAGATGGCAAGTGTGTATCTGTGCGTTACAGCAGGTTTCACTACTCGTCTCTGACACACAAAACCTAACACACACTCCCGGGATGTGTAGCCTTGAAGACAATGTGAATGAACACATACTTGCAGGATTCACACTCACCATAATATGTTCAAGTAGAGAATCTATTGCCACAATGTTATCAAAGTATGTTCTGTTCGAAAAGAAGAAATGGTGCATTGAGATGTTTGACAAATGGGAAGCTCTGATGACGTTCACATTCAAGACATGAAGTTTCTAATTTGTGAGCAAAAAAAACCCTTTTATTGATTTAACCTTGGGCCTGACAAGAGAACAGACTAAATAGCAACTTAGGTTTTTATTTGTTAGACTTAATAAATAGGAACATGATATAAATGCATTTATTTTTTATTTCAAACATCAGTATTGATTTAGTATTGAGGTAAACTGTCCGATCAGCAGCTCTTACTTTGACACATCTAGTAGGAAGTCGTTGAGCTCAGTCTGTTTGGCGAGGCCTCTGCACACCTAGAAGCAAAAAAAGAAATAGGTCACGACACGGCACACAGAGGAATCGAACATCTCCCACTGTCTACACACTTTGTAGGCCTGTTGGCCACCTTCACGTGTGTCAGTAACAACAGGAGTGTTTTGCAGCTTAGGCACATGGCGCTGCAGTGGGACGCCGCCACTCCTCTAAGGTGTTGTGCTATCTGTTCGTATAAAAACAGCACTGGGCCGTAATGACGTCCCCGGGGAGCTGTTTGTTGAATCTAAGGCTTAGTTGATTGGACTGGGCCGAGTGACAACCCAGTTCCTGTACACAGTGGATTTCCCCGTTTAAAAACACACGTGCAGAACCAGAACAAACAAAGTGGCACAAGATTGTAATAAGTGGGACGTGCAGGTTTCACCTTGTTCCCAGCTTCTGCTACAGTGTGTTAACTCACACCGGCCCTCTGTGGAAGTGTGCTCACCTGTACTTGATGAATGGCAACTGACGCCCACGCTAAGTTCGCTGTTGCAACCTGAGAAGGGAAATGAAGCTTCATTTTAAATGACTGCTGGAAATTAAACAATAACGCACAATTAACACAAATCCATAGGGTTATTAATCTTTCTTACAACTCAACAGATTCAGAGTCACATGGAGACACAACTCACAACTGTAGCACTGCATGTTCGATTTATGGGTTTGCAGTTCAAGCAATGCGAAATAAAAGTTGCACCAATATATATTTTATATGAAAAATAAATATCAAATGACAGTGATATTTAAGATGTTTAAAAAACGAAATTACTAATTCATTAATTTACATATACTGTGTATGTACTTTTTTTCAGGAGGTTTTAAATTTCAAATGTGAATCTTCGAAGCTGATGCTCTGTGACTGCACTTTCTTGAGTGTTAATCCATTTTCATTAGTGCCTCGTAGAAAGTATCACCATCATCACTGAACCCCACAGAGCTAACAGAGATCAGATCTTAAACAGACCCAGATTAAAGTGAATACCAGGCTAACTGTTGTTCTGTGAGCCTTGCTCCAGCCTCCCACTCTTGGGGTGTTTTGTCAGGGTCAGACTGACCTCCTGGTGGCTGAGGTTGAAGGGCTCCTTGCCCCAGTGCCGATGCAGCTCCAGAATGGCAATGAGGTCCCCGATGGCAGTGAGGATGGGGAGGCACAGGACAGAGTGAACATGGATCCCTGAGTCCTGCCCTGTGCCTTCGGGGAAGCGCTCGTCCTGCGACACAGACGCAAACCAAGATCGTTATCACCTGAACTGCAGAGGAGGTTCGGAAAGGAGGTCAGTGTAGCTGCTGCAAAGGATCTAAATGTGGATTTAATGGATGCAGATGACAAAATGGACAAGACATTTAACCCCACAAGACATTTAACCCACAAGACATTTAACCCACAAGACATTTAACTCTGAGCAAGGCAAACATTTCTATTACTGTCTATGAAGCTGTCTTTAACACTACACATCAAATTTAGAATAACAAATGTCAGTAACTGTGCTATGTACTTCAAGAATTATACCTTAATTACACATTTTAACTTGTATTTTATGTGAGGACAGATTCTGTACACATATCTGTACAGTATTCTGAGGTGGGAAATAATCAAGTAGAAATACTTTGTTACTCTACTTGAGTAGATTTTTCAGGTATCTGTAGATTTACTTTCGTATCCATTTTACTCTCTACATTTCAACACAAATATTTGTACTTGATACTCCTCATATTTTCAAAACTGGCTCATTACTTTTGTTTTATTGAAGAGAATTTATTTTCCTTAAAATTTGCATCATCAAGTGCCACCATCCCAACATCAAGACAGAATTTGATCTAAATGGATGGGGCAGTGACACAGAAAAGATGAGTCCTTGTTGTCTGTGTATATCACACACAACATAAAACATAAAACATGACGTAAAATACACATCAAGATGAAACAGACAAGAGACAGAGACTCAACCACGGAGAAGAGGCACGGTGCAAATGTCAGTGACAAGAAGTTACAACATGGAAGAGAGTGAAGAATCAGCCAACATTACTGATGACGTCTACAACCTTGACAACAAAGCAGAGCAACAAAACATTCCCCACCCCCTGCCTTGTTAAAATCAAGAATACTTAGTTAAATAGTCTTCAAACTATATTAATGTGACATGACGACATAAGTCTATAAGTTTGCTTTGCACAGATTCAGACGGTAGAAATGGTCTTCAGAAGGGAAACATTTTATTTTAATACTTTATATTTAAGAGCCTGTAATTTTGTACTCCTACATAAGTAAATAAGTTGAATTAGTACTTTTACCTGAGTCATATTTAACACAAGCATCTGTACAACTACACGAGTAAAGAATGTGTGTACTTTTGTATTATAACTGCAGTAAGTAGTGCAGTGCACAATCCCTATGTACACATCCCTGCAAAATGCAAGTCCTTTATAAATTCCAACTGAATATTTTCAAATTTGTGCAGTTTTACTTCCAGGGTGCTGAGTGCATCCAACCAGGTGGTGAAGAACAAGACTGATTCAATGTACAGGTCGTACAGAGCTCTGTATTTAAACATCACAGCTCTGCAGTGAAATGTTAGATTCCTGTGACAAGTCAATCTGTGCTTGGATGCAAGAAAACCGCCTCACCCCCATGATGTCCTCTACGAGCAGTGTTTTGCGAGTCTTGGCAACATGAGCGGCAATGGTTGTCCCAAATGCGATGGGGCCGGAGGGGATGAGGCCTGAAGGGCCGTCCTTGGCCCCCGTCGGAATGAACACACATAAACTCTATGGAGAAGAACATTAAAGGGAAAAACAGAAAAGGAGAAAGAAATGTCAAAAACATGCATGTGACTCATGTTGCTTTACTGTATGAAATGTCTTCGGCAGACGTCCTGTGCACTTACATTGTTGCATTCTCCCAAGAAGTAAAGTGCAAATCCATCAGCTTTAGTTGCTGTAGAAATACAAGACACAGTGTTTTTAAATACAGTTAAACAGTCCACAATATGTTATCATTCATTCATATGTCCAGCAGCAAATTGCAGGTATGAGCCAGAGAGGGAAACATGTGATGAAGAGACAATGGTCCAGTTACAATATAATAACAATCTGGTAACAATGTCCCACATTACGACAAGGGCGCTTCCACTGTCATCCAGTTCATCTTATTCCCAACACTGCGCTCCAGTCCCATTTCACACTGATATATAGGTCATGTTATCATACAAAGGGACAACAGAGAGACAGTGGGATCATCACTCAATACACTCATGATCAGTGAGGTAATGAGTTGTGAGGTTTTGGTGGAATCAGCCTTTTGTGGTTTGGTTTGTAAGGTACAACATTTCAGACTTAGTTGGGAATAAAAGTCTATTGTTGTCATTGTTCCTGGTGTTTTCATAGATCAATGACTAATCTAGATTCATATCTGATAATAGAAAAATACGATTCTTAAGCAAACAATTAATCATTTTAAATAATAAAAACACACAGATGGATAGTTTTCCTTTATTTATTCGCTTCTTTTTTATAATTTTAATTCAAAATTTTCTGCTACTTCCTAGATTAATCATCGAAGAAACTGTTCTTCCTTCTCCCGGAAGATGCTGCACATATTATTAAGACTCCCAGACTCAGTGAGATGATGATTTCTGCTTTTACCTGTTTTGATGATGTTGCACAACTCATAGAGCAGGAGTTTGTTGTCTCCTCCAGTGTCCAGGCGCTGCTCCATGTAGCTGTTGAGTTCGTACACCACACCCTGCATATTTGTGTCCTGGTACTGCTAGACAAAAGACACAGAACATTGCAACTGCACAGTCTGCCACAAACATTGAGATTGAATTTCAAAACTCAGCAAGTGCTGTGACAAAGAAAAACCGTGGCAGCAACCTGCATCCGGTCTAATGTTACTGAAGCAGAGATCTACTAACTCATGTAGCCAGATTTGAACAGTTTCCCTCATAATGAAAGGAGATTATCTTCCTGAACATTCATCACAACATTACCCTGTTGCCCACCCTTCCACTCTCCCTTTCTCTGTTGCATTCTAGCCCAGGGATCCCCCCGCAGTCCCAAGAGGGGGTCGCTAGAGCCCCACGGCTCTGATTAGAGCCCTGGCAAGCTCTGATGCTCAGCCACAGCTTTAGTGTGGTTACGTAAGAGGCAGACCTCCTGCCTTGTACGGGGCTAGAGAACCGTCTATTTCTGCGCCCGCGGAGAGGGTGAGGACAGGACGGCAGGGAGAGTGGCGCACTAGAAAGCCTTCCCCTATGGGACGCCTTCTATCCTCCCACATCCTGTTTGCAAAGACGTATGGATGACGCACTGAGGGGTCGAGTGGCCCTCGTTTTTTTTCCCACTATCTACGTGTGTGAAGTCCCTTCTACCCAGCTCCAGAGCCCTTCTGCAGATACCGTCACCTGAACTCCTCGGGGTGCAGAGGTGTCAAGTTGACAAAGGTGTGAACATACATAAAGCAGGTAGGGCACAGGGGATCTACTCTTTCTGATGACCTTCCTGCTTAACTCTCACACATGGCAAGTGTACAATGCAACAAAAGATTATTAATGTTTCTCACTATCTTTATCATGTTAAACTGAATCTGCACAGAGCCGGACCTTTTCTGGCCAAGGTATGTACCGTACAGGTTGTAAGCTATTTCATGCATTTTCGATTTTTCAACTAAATGAGACACACAAGTCATTCAAATGTTGTTCTAAAGGACTAAGGACAAATCTGCATGTTAATCAAGCACATCGGGACATTATTGCTATTTATCGAAGGACAGTATCAAATTCTGTACTTGGAATAGTTAGACCATTGTGTCCATTCTTGAATATGAACTCATTAGTCATTTCCTTTGTTGATTAAGGGGCAAAGAAATAAAACATCTGGAATGTGTGAAACTGTGAAGCCTCATGTCACAAAAATATCCAAATATAAATTTAAGTAAAGACGTACCCTGCTGACTTCTTTCGCTGACGTGTCATCTGTAGAGACAAAAATCACAATGTTTCATTTAAGATTTTTTAAAACTTCTTAAGACCATAATGAATGAAAGTTAATACTCAAGTATAACAGATATTTACAAGTTTGGAATTCAACATTTACTGACAACATGCCACCTTATCTCTTAAACTACAGACAGAGAGAGTATCCATATTATTTCCAATTCCCAAGCCAAGTGTCCTGAGATAAATTCTGATCAGGGTTTTTGTTGATCAGTTACACATTAGTTTTGTTTGTATTTTTTGGATATTCTATTTACATACACAAATAAAATTAAATCTGTAACTACTGTGTAACTACAACAAATGGCAATGTCAAACTATGCATACCACCAAAACCAAAGTAATTTTAAAACATGACAGGGGTAGTGTCAAATGAAGAATGACTTAAGACCTAATATTTTCACATACCAAACTTCTTAAGAACTAAAACAGATTTTTAGAACATTTTAGACTTTTCCCTGTGCCACATCGTAGCAGCTAGTCGTCTAGTCGCAGAGTTCTTAAGTCAAGGAAACAACTTAAGCAACAGAATAAAAAAATATACATATTCATACTTTTATAAATGAAAATTAAATATGATAGTATGGCAATGAAATACATCCTTTTAATGTGTTCATGAACTTGACTCGGTGTGTTATTACCATGACATGTATAGTTACTGAGGCAGTTTACACAGTAGAAGCCTGTTTTACCTGCTGTTACACAACGTTTTAGCCACAGTAGCTTTTATTTGGTTAAACTTACAAAGTGTCATCATTCTCTGATAATTAGTTAGTGATTAGTGACTTGATTTCAGCTTTAAATGAGAGAAGGTGAGTTGATGCTACTGTCTGACAAAATGTTCTGCCATCCTACAGCACAATATCTCATTTATAATGGTTTAAGTCTGTGTAATTATGCAAAAGCGAATACAGTCATTTAAACTCTGAAAAGCATCATGTGTGACTGACACAGAAACTTGGCCTGGCCGTTTGAATGTTGGGTGGAGTAAGAAGAAACATCTCTACAAGCAGCAAGTAAGAAAAAACAGATGTTGCCCTCGCAACAGTAGTCAGGTACATGTGCAATAAGTCAATGAAAAAAGATCAGGTATTTAAAGGTACAGTGTGTAGAATTTTGTGATATCTAGTGTTGACATTGCATGTTGCAGCTGAACACCCCTCACCTCACCCTCCTCTTCCAAACATGAAAAAGAACCCGTGGTAGACTTCAGTTCTTGTAAAAACTCAAAAGGTTTTTAGTTTGTCCAGTCTACCAATAGTTCCTTTTCACCAAAATCTTACACACTGGACCTTTAAAGCATTAATAAACATCATGCATTAATTAAGGATAATTATATCATCTCGTTTGATGCAAGAAACGCCTGCTTTAACTTTGTTTCTTTAAAAAGAGAATTAACAGAGGTATTAATTTAATTTGACATGTGCAAAATGTTGTGGCCTAAAGTATAAATTCTTGGTGTGATTTCAGGCTGCTGGAGAGACAGAAGACATATGACTATTGTCTTTGGATGCAGTCACCGAAGAATGTGATGATAATGAAAGCCTCAGCCAATCATAACAGTTTCTGGACTTATAGTCTGGGAGCGCGATGAAAATAAAAAACATTCACACAGCAGCCAGAGCGGCTCTTTGTTACACGTGGGTCAACAGCACACGAGAACAGTAACCGCTCAGATCTCTGTGATAACGTCTCATGTGATCAAACCATGCGAAGCGGCTGGGCAAATTTTAGAAACGCCGACTCAAGCTGCTCCTCTTTTGAAACAAACCCCTTTGAACATGTGAAGAAGAAGAAATCACAGCCAGCGACAACATTTGTTGTTTTAAACATTCCCCCAGAACGCTATGAGTTTCCTAACATAGCCATGAGAGCTATTTTGGAGCGAACCCCCGGTCGGGAATGACGTCAATCAGAGGACAGCGAGCTGCCCTTTAAAAAGACTTCAAACCCGTTGGGAAAAAAAAACAACATTTATTTTAATAATGCCTTGTAAATGCCAATGATATCAGAAACCTGTTTGAAGAACACGTCTTAAAGTTTTTCCTGTAAGAGAGAGGTCTGCAAATTTTTTTAAAGCAGTTTAACTTCTATAACGTTAACACAAACACAGTGATGTATCCATTGATTTTCTAGAATAAAATTTAAAAAAGACAAGAATGTCACCCAGTAGAGAGCATATACCTACACTAAGGCCCCACAGTCTTAAATCCAATCAAGCTGCAGCAAACTTCACTCACTCATAGATGTCAGTTCCCAAAGTTAATGATGTCAGTTCCCAAAGTTGATGATCTTATATATAATATCCATAAAATACCATTTGAGAAACCAATATGTTAAACAATGTCCAATCTCGCGTTGTTTAGGAAAGTAATAAAAAGCATTCCTGGATCCACCTCCCCATCCAGATCCACTCCAAACTTTTCTGGTTTCCTCCCTGACATATACCCAATTCCTTCAATCATGCACACACACATAGATATCAGTTGCTTAAACATGCAAGATCTTGTTCATGAAGATCCATAATTTATTCTCTAAGGAATCAAGACTTTTTTAAATGGTTGTTCCCTGGCCTGTACCAAATCCACGTTTTGAATGAATCTTTCCAGTAGTTTTTGCCTTATCTTGCTGTCAAACAAACCAGCAAATTGACAGCAATGAAAACAGCCTCCTTGGTGGAGGTAATGAAGAAAAAAAAGAAAATATTCTGTCCATGAACTGTGTGCAACAGGAAACACCATTTAACCTTTATTTGCTTTTCTTTACTGAAACAGTTTGACATGTATACAGTGTGATGTAATGTGGTATGTATACATGGTGCAGTGCAGTAAATGTGAGCACTGAGCAGGATGCTGGATAGAGGCCTATGAAAATAAACCTCAATTAAGTAAAAGATGAAAAAAAATACACAATGCAAAAACATATCATGAAATGTAATACTCACTTTACTGTATGTGCAGGGCCTCAGTGTCTGTGGTGTTTGATAGCATGTGTGCACAAACACCCCCCCCCCCCTCACTGTCCTCACACACCAGTAAGGAGGGGGCATCTCACGACTGACAGTTCAAGTAAGGGTTTTTACCGCCCTGCCTGCTGATGGTGCGGTGGTTGGTTCTCACTAGAAATATTCCAAAACACTTTTTTTCCTTCCTGACATACAGATTTTGGTCAATACCAACTCAGCACTTATCTGATACCAGTGTATTTAAAAACAACTTCTGCTGCTTACCCTGAATGGAGGGATGTTTGCTATCAGACTCACTACCGAGATACCGAGAGTGCTGTAGAACCTCTTTCATTATCTAGTTTGACAGTCATAACTGAAAAAGAACACAAATGAATAAATCAGGGAAAACAAAGCAATGAATTTGACAAGTGTAATGTTAACTGGGCAAGTTGATGATATTCATGTTGCATGTGAGCAGGGCACTATTTCAGTCCAGAGCTCAGGCACCAACATCTGTGTTGTATCTATATATTTATAATGCATTTATTAACATTTGTATCCCTACATTTGTGCCTTAGTCTTGTCTCCTGCTGTGATTTGTAAATTGCTTTTGATTGTTTTCTATTGTTTGCCTTCAATGCTTAATTTCTTCATTGAAAGGTATAGTTGATTATTATTATGACTGCAATAAACATCAGTGGGATTGTTTTACACGTTACTTTGCATTTCCCATTAATCATATTATTAACCTTTCCACGGGATCTCTCATCTCTACAGAAGAGCTTCTCTGCTCCCAGAGGTATTACCTCTGCCAGGATATGTGGGTCCCACCAATACTAAATGTTCCTCCTGGAGGAAATGGTCACCAGACACTGTTTGTACCATTGCAAGTCCAATTACAGTCTGGCAAACCACCTCTGCAGGCATCTTGAGAGCAGCGGTCCCAGTGGAACCACAGGGTGAGCACTGATCATTGTGTCCACACACTGAATGTGTCTAAAAGGCCAAAAAGTAACAGGAAGCTTGTATTTGCAGGTAAAAATTCAGACATTTCCAGTGCGAAGGCAGGTGACCTTTAAATCCGACCAGTTCCGGGAGTGTCTTACAAGTCAACATGTAGGTGGAGGTCAAGCAGGGCTCTCATATTCCTGCTTCTCCTTGAAACTGTATTGTATGTTGGGCCGAGCTCTTCCTGCAGGAAGTGTGTAAGAAAATTCTCTCTGTTGTGTGACCAGCACCTTTAACAAAAATATATAAAACTGACACCCTGCCTGCCCCGTTTTGCAACAATAACATCTTTGTTTCATCAGATAAGTGTCAGGGGATTAACTCTACTGATACACCTCCCCCTGGGGCTGAGAGGGAAAGAATACATACGGGTGTGTGCATGTGTGTTTTATTGCTGCGCAGTGTGTGGTCAGCCACCAGCACGGGGACAGAGACCAGTAGCCTGCTCTAACGCCACATCCCATATTTTCAGGGAGCTGCAGTGCTTTCAGTAAACACAGCAGGAGAGGGCCGACATATTCTTAGAAAATGCACCTGCCTGTTCACAACGCCCTCAACTCTAAACACAACTGTCAAGCAACTCAGGCTGAACAGACCTTTTCTGGTAACTCCATCCAAACGTTTCCTGAACCCTAACAGCCTCCATCACAGGGTTGTTCAGGTGTGCAGCTCTGTGACGTACAGTATTAAGCCGACAGGTAGTTGATGTGGATGCATGCTTCTCTGCCTTGTAAAACAAAGCTGAGTGGGCAAAGCTTCTCTGAGGATTAACAGCTCAACGGGTTCACGTATGTGACCATAATTCCGTTTACTGCCGATAATTGTGCTTAAATAGCCACTTTTGCATATTTTGTTTGAAAAAATTTGAAAGAGCGTTTTGCACCAGTGTGTCAGTTGAGACAGAGGAGCCGGCAGCTATAGCAGAGAAAAACCCTCTTGCACATCATTTTTAGAAAAGCAGAACAAACAGCAAAGTTGAAATAAATGGATCCGCCTGACGTCACATCACACAAGAGCAAGAGCA